ATCGGGAGGACCGGGAGGGTGTGTGTATGTGTGGCGCGAGCGAAGCACACCTTACGTGTTGTTGTTAGCATCTGGTGCTAGCTAGCTGCGCTAACGGATATAAGGAGCTGTTTCAATGAAAACAGAGGAGCGACATTTCGCCGACAACTGCGCAGAGCACTTGACTTTATGCAGGTAGCCAGACAGTGGGACATTGTACGAAAAGTCAGCACACTCAGCACGGATAGTGCGCGCAACACAGCTCATACACACAGGCATATATGCCTTGAGCTGCACATAGCTCCAACGATCCATCACAGTGTCTCCACATTCTCACACTCTCTCTCTCACACACACACACACACACACACACACACACACACACACACACACACACATTATTGTATGAGAGAGGTTCCAGGTTGAATTGAGGCGAATATTTGTAATGTTCAGAGGTTGTTGTGTTTAATATTCATGAGAATATTTGTCATTGTTCAAATGATAATAAACAAACAAACATATAAAGCATAGTTGTCCACTCATATGTTGATAAGAGTATTAAAAACTTGAAAAATATCCCTCTAAGGTACATTTAGAACAGATAAAAAATGTGCGATTAATTTGCGATTAACTATGGACAATCATGCGATTAATCGCGATTAAATATTTTAATCGACTGACAGCCCTAATAATAATACATACAATAAAATAGCTTTCAGTTTTGTCCATCACAGCAACAGCAGGTGCCCCCCCCCCATACAGTGTGTGGGCTATTTTGTCACCTAGAACCAATGGTGTCTTTAACTCTGTCAAACAACTCTCCACAGAGGCAGGGGCAAGCACATCTGTTATTATGGACGCTGCTTTTGTACGACCACATGACATTTTCTTTGCTATCTCAGAGTCTGGAAAAATGGTTGGCGCTAGCTTGTCACAGTCATTTGACCGGTATGATTGGGAGTGTTGCACTGTATGGTAAACACTGGTTATTTCTGCTGCTGTTACCTTGTCTGAGTGGCCATCATTTTTTGGTTTGAGTAGGAATGTCTCCATAGAGTGGGATGTCTCTTTTTGAGCGACACGTTTCTTGTGAGAATCGCATTCTCTGTGTATTTTGACGTCGTATTCACCGCCATGTGAAATTGAAAAATTACTCTTGCAAAGATTGCAAAAAACTCTTGAGAGTCGCCCTGCACTGGCTTCACCCACGGGTAAGTGTCTTCCCAGTCTTTGTTGTATGGGCCGCGGGGGGGTGTGTGTGAGTGAGTTACTCTCATTGGTTAACACCTGACCAGCACCAGCCGTGTGTTAGTTTGATTGACAGCAAACACAGCCCTGTGATGATAGCCTTCCCTGCTTTCTCAACAGCCATTGGATAAATCTGATTTTAGAAAAGCGTTTTAGCCAATCAAAATGAAATATGCGGGACATCGTCTCAATTTGCGGGACGCACCAAAAGTCGTGAAAATGCTGTGCAGTCCCGCACAAAGCGGGACAACTGGTCACCCTAGATGTGATCCAAGTAGCTCTTGGCCACTTTCATTTTTTCAAAGTAGATCTCAGATGGAGAAAGGTTGAAGACCCCTGCTCTAGGCTATATTGTATTACAATATTTTCAGCTGCTGGGTCCTTGGATCTGATCCAATCAAAAATTGAAGAAGTAGTTCTGACTGCTGACACTCTACCAGAAATTGCGGCATCTTTATGCCAACTAACAGCCCGTCACCAGCAGGTTCTGCACAGCCAAGTCCTGAAGGATACCTTTTGCTGCAGCCAAGGCCACCTTAATGCACAGGCTGACCTGGGCCCAAAGGAGATCAGGGGCCTATCATGAGCCAATAAAAAAATGCATTGCTTTGTAATTCGTCAAGTGTTCTGTCCATCATTTGATCTGAATGTATGTGGCTGGTGATTGAAACTATTTATAACACACCCCCGTGGGCACCACTCAAAAGCCAATATGAATGTGTTTGACATGTGACTTATTCAAATGCGAGTGATTGAATGACAGACGAAGTTTGTTAGCTAGCTAGGTGAAAATATTGGAGAAGAAAAAGTTTGAGAGTGGCGCTCGGAAAAGGAAATTGTTGAAAGAAAAGGAGTTTCGTGACAAGCAATTATTTAAAAAATGTCAAAGCTTACAGTTTTTTTTTTTTAAACCTGTAGGCCAGGATGAGGAGGAAGGACAGACAAGTTCTGTACCGAGCACCAGCGGTGCCGGCCGTGGGGCCTCGGAGCTGTAAGAAAATAAAATCAATGTGTTTCAAGAGTATTAAATAAATGCACAGTTTTATTTTGAAAAACTTTATTTTTAAGGAAGCCGGATGTTTACAAATACGTCACTTCCGGTTTCACATAGTCTTTGTTTTTAGCCGTTAGAATGTAGCTAACAGAATGTTATGAATGAGAATATAAGGAGAAATGACTTGTGGAGTTACACAATAAACACACAACGTCTAATCCTCTTTTTTGACGCAATATTAATCACAGACGTACGAAGCCGAGAGGGAGACACGCCTCTCGTCGAAGCAGCCAATGAGAAGAAGACCACAGAATCAGATATATTCGAATGCACGGCGAAATCCGGTCTCTTCATCTTCTGCATCACAGCGCTGTGATAACTTGTTGCTTGATCCACTACAACGTACGTCTGGTTCTGATAGCGATGGAGAAGCAGGAGAGGAAAAACAGACTGCGCTCAAGCATGCAGCAGGACCGAGTCAGTAACCTCACACTGATGTCCATTGAGCATGACATTCTTCGTGAGTTGGATTTCAAGAACATTATAAAGGCTTTTTCTTCAAAGAAGACCAGACGAAAGCACTTCTAAACAGGGATGTAGTGCTGCCGGAGCGCACCAGAACACCGCTCCGGCACTTAAAAAAATTGCAGTACGCATAAGGAGCCGTACACATGCCGCGTTTCTTGTGTGGTTGTGTCTTTAGTTGAAAGCCCAGTGGCGATCTGTTCATCTGTCATATTGATCATACAATAAAGCCATCGAAAAATAATATGATACAGTAAAGTTCAAGTACTTCTGGGTCTTAATTTGTCATTCAAAATCGGCTCTGTGTGTGGCACGAGCGCATTGTGAGTGAGCGAGAGAGAGAGAGCGTGCACCGGTTACGGGGATTGTTGTTGTTAGCATCCTGTGCTAGCTCGGAGCTAACGGATATAAGGAGCTGTTTCTACAACAAGGTGGAGGAGAGCTCTCTCCTGTCAGACTGAGATCTCTGATAACTACAGCTCAGTGAGGAAAATAACTCCTGTGAGAAAGAAGTGCTTAAATAGTTAACTTCAGTCTAAGTAATCTCAGTGGGTCTAAAACGGTTTGGTCACCATTTATGTAAGCAAGTATTTGCAAAGCACACCATTATATGATCATTATAGTTAAAAAAACAAAACAAGAGAATAAATGAAAAACATGATCACATGGATAGGATACTAAATACATTTGCCAATCTCAGAAGACACCGCCACTCTCAGGACAAGAAGTGCACGCTAAGAATGACAAAATAAAATCGCCTTTCTCTGTACAGCGCCACTTTCCGAACAGGAAATGCACGCTAATACAATATTTTATATTATTAAGGTACAGCGCCACTTTCCGAACCATTAATTAACCTGTTAAACCCCAAGCCTGTTTTTCAGGTCTCAGGCTCGAAAATGACATGCCCAGAACAAATGACTATATCTTCACTTCTAAAAAGGGGTAAATGAATCATCTTTTTTCTCAAAGCAATGATACACCTGTGAGTTGGATGTAGAAAAGTCAGAATCAATATAGATCTTTTTATTTTAAAGTAAATTCAGATTGAACATAGTAAAAAAAATAATAATTATAGTTTCCGTCCAAAAAATAAACATTACTTATAGTGAAAACCACCCTTGAATGATGGGATATGAAGATCTGTTCTTTGTTTCCAAGTCCAGGAGAAAGTAAAAAAGGAGACGAATGGAGTCTCGGAAAGTTCAAAAGAGTAATTTAATAAAATAGCGTTGTATTGGATCAAACAGGCAGTCAACACAAGCTAGCTGTGTCCCAATTCAGAGGCTGCGTCCTCCTGAGGACCCAGCCTCTGAATTCCGCAGAGGACTGCGAAATGAGACGGTCTACGGAGCATTTCCTGGTACGTCACCGGCAGTTACTGCCCCTACCTTTTGCCTCCCCCGTCGCCTAGCAACCAGCTGCAGTCACAAGCATAGATATATATAAAGGCTAGATGGCTCAAGGAGGAGTGGCCAGCGTAGCTCACCGGTGGCCATCTTGCCACAGTCAACCGCTACTCTGGTACGCTCTATGGTAGCTGTTGTAAGGTGAGTGATCTGCACAAAAATACTCTTAACTCGCTGAAATCTTGAATGATTTACAAACGGTTTGGTTTATTATAAACGTTATTAGCATCCCTGCTGAAAAAACCAGCATGGACCAGCATGGTGTTGACCAGCATGGACCAGCCTATGTTGTGTTTTGGTCACCAGCATGGTCCACCAGCATGGACCAGCATGGACCACCAGCATGGACCAGCATGGACCACCAGCATGGACCAGCATGATCCACCAGCATGGACCAGCATGATCCACCAGCATGGACCAGCATGGACGTCCATGCTGGTCCATGCTGGTGGATCATGCTGGTGGATCATGCTGGTCCATGCTGGTGGATCATACTGGGGACCAGCATAGTATGCTTGTTTGCTGGTCACCAGCATACTAGCATAGACCAGCATACAAGCGACCAAAACACAACATATGCTGGTTTTGCTGGCATACCAGCATTTATCTATCACCAGCTTATGTTAGTATTAAATATACAATGTATTCTGGTAACTATCAAAATAAAGACATTGTATTGTGTTCATAACAGTATTTTTATTTAATAAATTATACATTAACAATACAATAATATTCAAAAAAAACCCTACATCTAAATAAATATATCATCTAAAATAGATGCATTTGATTTAAAAATAACAAATATAATTCAAAATGTAAATAGCAACAAAGAAATTATAAAAAGAAATGTTTAAAGTATTTTTTTCTTTTTCTTGTTAATATCCATTATCTTCTCTGTTATGTATCTTCCGGTCTTTGCCAATCTGGCCAGCATTTCTTGGTCCTCCACGTCTTTCTCGTACAGCCATGCTTGAAGCAAACTGAAAATAAGAAACAACAATGTTTTAACAAATCGTATTAAATTATGTGATGACAGAACTGTAAACAGGATAGCTGAAACTTTAACAAAATAAATAACTCCGTTACCTCTAATCATTAACCCATGTTTGTATCATTTAGTTAACTCCGTGTGTTGCTGCTAGCATACATAATATATACCTGACGTGGAAACGTTACTTGTGGATGGGGCTATAGAGTTACTAGAAATTAATTTATTAATTATAATAAAAACGTAGCTCAAGCATTTATGCAACTTGATTTGAAGCGTGTGTGTGTGTGTGTGTGTGTGTGTGTGTGTGTGTGTGTGTGTGTGTGTGTGTGTGTGTGTGTGTGTGTGTGTGTGTGTGTGTGTGTGTGTGTGTGTGTGTGTCGGACCCGGTAGAATCTAGGGGCGGGGTATGCGAGGGAAAGGAGGAGGTGAAATATTAAATTGAGACGAGCCTCACTATAGTGTCTCCCCGTCCAATCCCCCCCCCCCTCCCCGTCCACCCAGTAAAAAAATTGTGTGTGTAAACTGCCCCGCCCCCTCGCACACAGACAGGGGAGAGAGATCTCTCGTCTGGATTGGAAAGATCGAAAATAAATCATAGACGCATTTTGTAGTCTTTTTGCATATTAGACAGTAAGACTGCGATATAATGTTTGTGTAGCAATAATACATATGACATCTATTTTTTTAACGTCTCCATTACCGATAAAAAGATCGTTAACGTTGGACCTTAACGGTACCACGGTCTTTAATAATTCATCCCTGGGGCCCCGTTAATACCGGGGCTTGGTACCCATCCCTAGTTTTAATTATTACATCATCAATATTAAATTTCAAATAACCAAGAACTTGGTATCTCACAAAGAGCAAGTGGCTAGTGCTGCTAAGAACATACCTTTCAAACCCCATAGCTTCTGCAGGGTTAGAGGCTGCCTGGTGGTCTTGGTGGTGGGGCATTCCTTTCCAGTCAGGCTCCTTTCCCCTAAGGTGTCGGTGCCCCAAAACGCCACAGCCAACTCCTTCACGAACATGGCGTCCCTTGTGTTGTTTTTTATTTTTGCCCAGACCTCTGGACGCACTGGAATCTCCCCTTGCAAGTGAATGACAACAATCTGAAACATAAAATGTGTACAGTAGCCTATACATAAAAGGTAGACACCAATATGAGACTGAGGAGCAAAAATAAAAAGGCTCCACTATGGAAATAATATATACCTTCCCATGTGGCTCGCTCTTTGAAGGGGGATTATTGGGGTGTGTGGGTGTCCAGGGTGCAGGCTCACACTGTGTCTCAGATTGTTCTTCTACAGAATGTGAATAAGACAAAGAAAGGACAAAAACATTTCAACAATAGTATAAATTCATATGCGTATATCTTGATGGGCTGATTGTTTACACATTTCACTGCCATCTTGTCTGTTTCTTTTATTGCAGTTGCTGATGAAAGTTAAAATGCAAAATCGATCCAAGACTGTCATTATTATTTGCTTGCAATTTAAAAACAAATGTACTTACTTTGTGAAAATACCTGGTTTAATAGTTTATCCAAATACATTTTTAGATTTGCTGTCCTGTAGGTGGCGACTTCCCCTTCCAGCTCAGATCTTTATAATGTAATGAAAAATAAAATGATCAACAAAACAGCCTTTTAGCCTACCACCAGTCAAATCTGTTGTTACCCTATGACTGGTAAAAACACAAACATTAAATGTACCTTCTGTATTAACCGTCTAAAGATTAGTTCCTGTTGTAATTGTGCAGCTGTATTATCTGGGAAATAGAAGAATCGGATCAGGATTCGGTATTGGCAGACAATCAATATCAAATGACTCGGATCGTTATTAGCATCAGCACTTGATCACTTGTCTACTTGCAGCCTAAATACAAAGATAACTCCACTCCTCTCCTAACACTGCTTACCTCTATTAAGCCTTGGTAGAACTAGTGTCCTAGTCATAGGGTCCAGGACTGACTGAAGACATGTGGAACAGAGTCCCAGACAGGCATCGTTTGATGTACAGGAAACTGGAACTTTGAACAGGTGTTTTCATCTTTTCTGCCTGAAGATTCACAAGTTCTTGATCAGGTGTTTGATGTGGGCTGGCATGATCCTTTCTGCAGCGATAAATAAATAAAACAAAGAAAACATTGTTAATAATAGCAATGATGGTAACAACAATAATATTAGTATAACTATTTATATAGCACTTACACAATTGCAAAGTGATTCTCACTACAAAAATAAAGAACAAAACAATATCATCAATACAAAAACTAAGCATTAAAGAAGTTCAGTGACAAACATCCTCTTAAGTAAAAGACCAAATCATGTCAAGCTTTAAATATTTCAGTCTTTGCAATGCACTGTTGTAAATGACATTCCAAAGGCTAAATTCAAACAAAAAGATAACTGGGTACCAAAGTGCTTTACCTGATACTGTAGAACACGTTCCACACGGAGCAGCAACCATCCGGCTGGGCCTTTTGCTGCATATCATCTTCTCCCTCTCCACTGTTTCCAGTAGATCTTTACTGCCTCTTTCCAATAAAACAGAAATGCCCCAAAAAATCATATTAAAAAAGTTAAAAACAATAACTTACTTTTGGCATTAAAATGGATTTGAATCTCACCTTTTTCCTGGATGTCAGGAAGGCCAGGAAGTCGTTCCCTTCAAGTCCACAACCAGTCTTCTCTTTCTTTCACCCTCCGAAAATCTCCCAGCATGCACCAGGAAGAAGAAGAAGAGGAAGAAGCAGAAGCAGAAGATGAATTTTTCAGAACATTTTCCTTAAAAATAAGAAAAACATACCGATTTCTTTTTTAGAGCATCCATTTCTGTGGATTCCCCTTCACAATGATCAAAATCAACAAAATCTTCTTGGATCCTTGGAACTCTGATTCGTTTTGGAGGATTTGATGTTGAGTCCTCAATCTCTTGGGTTTCTGTCAAAAGGTAAGTGTAAGTGAAGCTAACGTTAATGTTTAATGTCCATGGTAATGATTTTACCTTACTTTAATTTCGGTAGTTTACGTCAACGTAACGAGTATGCCGTTAAAGTAAGCGGCTTATTCTAACGTTAAAGTAAGCCAACGGCTTATTCTAACCGTTAGAGTAAGCCATCTTAACGTACTAGTAACGTATATATATATATATAGGCTATATATATATAACATATAATATATATATAAATATATATATACGGCTTATAAGTCTGCATACTCTAGCCGTTAGAGTCTAACGGTTAGAATAAGCCGTTGGCTACTCGCATATTAATTATTAATGTTAAGGTAGCCTAATTATTCGTACCTTTCACAAGCAGAACCTGGCTGTTGAAATATGTTTTCTTCCCAAAGAATGGGATAGAGGATGTCCGCTTGATATGTTTTTAAGTTGAAGTTTTGGATGTTTGTTATAGGTAGCTACAATAGCCTTAAATCCGTCCGTGTATTTCACATAAGCAAACATCCTGGCTGACAGATGTTTCGGGCCGAACGGATTACTTTTACACATTCTTGGCCTCACGCGCTACCTATTTCTTTTGCGCACGAGACACTGCTCTGGAATCTTGAATTCTAGAATGTTCTTCTAAGAGCTGTCATTACAGCATGAAGCGATGTCAATCATCTTATTATGTAATGCAGTGGCGGCTGGTGCATTTTTCTCCAGGGGGGAACCAAAATGTAAGCAAACTTATACACAAACTCATATTACAACGCAGGGCTAGCTCAAAGGCACACAGCACTTGATACAGTCTATTATTTTAGTGCCTGTTTTTGTCAACCTCCTTATTATGCTTAGGCTACTGAGTGATCCCTATCCTGTACCCTCATTGGACAGCTGTGTTTACTTTCCTAAACATGGCTAGTCGCATAGCATCATCCATGTGGACTCTAGTTTGTTCATGCTTTTAGTTTTTTCTGATATGTGCTTTAAGTCACTCACATCTGTCTGGATCCATGCTGGGTCTGGTCCATAGACTGGTCTGATCCTGACGTTTGAAAAAGGGAGGCAGGGGAACATAAAATATAGCACTGGTGTTGCTGCAGGTAGTTAGCCTTCTTGCTAAACCAGCTCCTTGAAAAAGAGCGTGTACTGCCTTCCTCTGTACAACTCCTGCCCTGTCTATGTCAGGCTGATCAGGTCCGAGCTCTTTTACTCTCAGCTTTCCCTCCAGTGTCCTCGTCTCAAAAGGGTGTTTCTTTAAGTGATTAAACATAACTTTCCTTCTCCATATTTGCTATCTAGTTTTGTTTACTCTCCGTCTACTCTCTCTCATTCAAACGTCAATCACTCACTCTGGCGCTTCTGCTGCCCCCTAGTTGTTGGCGGTGTCAACAGCTGCTCATATCTGTTGTTCTGTACGTTATAACGTAGCCTAAAGAACAACAGATAGGAGCAACAGATATCAAACTCAATAGAAATAACTTATTTCTATTGAGTTTGATTACTCTGAATCAAAAGTAGCCCTTGAAATGTGTTTAAACAGAAACCTGTGTTACAGTGGAAAGCCTATATCCTATACAGCCTAATACAAAGGCCTATACTATAGGCCTGTGTACTATACAATGCTGCTTGTTAGAAAAATAAAAATGTATAATACACAATATTCAGACACAAAATATACACAGCTTATATTATAAGATTTGCTGCATTGCCAATACATTATTTTCTAAAGCTGTCTGCTATTTTTCCATGTGCTAACTTCCAATATTTTCGTGGGATTCTGTATCAGAATCTAACATTTCTTGAAAAGAGAGGTTTCACTTAATGGTGATAGTTTTCTTTGTGATGCAGTTGATGAAAGTATAATCTTAAATAAGAAGCCTCGTTTATATAAAAATATTCTCGAAAATATGTTATGATCAATAAACATGATTTTACTGTTTAGATGCCAAAACGAAGCTACAAAGGCTACCTGGAGCCTTGCAACAGCTTTAAAATACCTAGAACCACACATATAACTAATATTCAAGAGGCAGTAATTGAGGTATGTATCCCTGGAATATGTATGGCATGATTATAAAATGGCTAACCTTTTAAATTGTGTTGTTTCTTATTTACCCGTTTAGACCCAATGACAGCAGTGTTTTTATTGTCCTCAAATAATCGGTGTGTTGACGATTTACATTTTAATGTTGATGTAAAAAGTGAGCACGGAGTCTCTTTTCAACTTAAAGGTGGGGTAGGTAAGTTTGAGAAACCGGCTCGAGATACCCTTTTTGTTATATTCCATGGAATGCTCTTAACATCCCGATAGTAATGAATATCTTAAGTGCTTTGACAAAAATATATTTTCAAATTCTAGCGCACTCGAGCTGGTTTCTCCAAAATTACCTTTAAGTATAACTCACAACTTTTGGAAAAAAAGTAACTAACATATTTCACCTCTTTTAAACATTGTGTGAACCAAACAACTAACACTAATGGAATAAAAACAGTACAGTACAATTACTTGACTTCATATGATGTGTACAATGATGATCCTTTTCTTTACATTTCTGTAATCTCTCACAGCCAAGAGTGAGTTTTTCAACACGTTTGTTTTTTATGTCCTCACTCACTCAGGGCACCGCTGTCTCAGGTGACTACCTTCCTCTCGCGGATGCAGCGACCTCAGATGCAGCTCTCTCGGATGATGACTCAACTCTCTCAGATGCTCTCTGAGATGCAGCTCTCTCAGATGCAGCTCTCTCGGATGATGACTCAGCTCTCTCAGATGCAGCTCTCTCAGATGCAGCTCTCTCAGATGATGACTCAGCTCTCTCAGATGCAGCTCTCTCGGATGCAGCTCTCTCAGATGATGACTCAGCTCTCTCGGATGATGACTCAGCTCTCTCAGATGCTCTCTCAGATGCTCTCTCAGATGCAGCTCTCTCGGATGATGACTCAGCTCTCTCAGATGCAGCGCACTCGGATGCAGCTCTCTCTGACGCAGCTCTCTCGGATGCAGCTCTCTCAGATGATGACTCAGCGCTCTCGGATGATGACTCAGCTCTCTCAGAGGAACAAGAATCTCTCTCAGATGACAGTGACTCAGACTCTAGTGTGGGTAATCCATTTGGGATGTTAGGGAAAGATCCTGATATGGACTCCAAGCTAACTGCAACAAGTACTACAACCAGGGCTGAAGCACTAATCATGATTATGAGCCATGCTGCTCGACATAATATTACAGGTTCTCAGCTCAGTGATTTGCTCAAACTCATTAATCAGCTGTTTGGAAAAGATGTTGTCCCCAGATCTAAACATTCTTTTAACAAGATCTTTAAGAATAATTCAGAGATGGTAGCATTTCATTTTTATTGCGACAAATGTAAAGCAAACATTGGCACAAAGGAAGAAATACAAGATAACAATATAACAATGTGTGCAGAGTGCCTAGTCCCAGTTGTGGTCAGTACCCTTAACAGTGCAAGGTTTTTCATCAATGTACCAGTTGCTCCTCAAATACAGCGCCTGCTTGAAAATCCAGAGGTAACAATGAGTTGAGCTACAGGTTTGAATCGCCCATGCAATGGAGACAGAGTCATTTCAGACATTTATGATGGTGAATCCTACAAAAAATTGTCAGCAGCTGGTCAGATTTTATCGGATGTTAATAATTTCTCATATAATTTTAACTCTGATGGTTCACCTGTGTTCAAGTCCTCAAAGTTTTCGATTTGGCCCATTCAGCTTCACCTGAATGAACTTCCACCAAAAATGCGATTCAAACACATTATTCTGGCTGGTTTATGGTTTGGTTCAAGTGAGCCTTGCATGCATGTTTTTCTTAAACCTTTTGTTGATCAGTCAAAGTTACTTGTATCCAAAGGAGTGTCTTGGAAAAAAAATGGAATGCAGGTCAATAGCAAAGTTATAGGTGTCTGTTGTTGTGTTGACTCAAAGGCAAGACCCACCATGCAGAACACAAAACAATTCAATGGTTACTTTGGCTGTGGCTTTTGCCTCCACCCTGGTAACCTTGTGGAATGTCAAGTAAAGTACACAATGTGTGAAAATCCAAACAGTGACAGAGATGCAGAAGGAATGTTGGCTGATATGGAGTTGGTATTAATTGAACAAAAAAGTATCCGGGGTGTCAAAGGCCCATCTCCCTTGATCAACATGCCACAATTTGATATTGCGTGGGGTTTTGTGCCTGATTATATGCATGCTGTGTTATTAGGTGTTGTCAGACAAGTGACAGAACTCATGCTAGAGGGCACCAATCAGCCATATTACATTGGCAGACCTGCAACATTGAGGGTTATTGAAAACCGAATCAGATGCATTCAGCCACCACATCTGATCACTCGGTTACCTAGACCATTGAGTGAGCGCAAATTCTGGAAAGCCTCTGAATGGCGGGCGTGGCTATTGTTTTATTGCTTGCCCTGCCTTGAAGGTGTACTAGATGGTGGCTACACCAAACACCTTTGCCTGCTCGTTACTGCTGTTTTTCTCCTTTTGAAGGACAAGATTCACTTTGATGACGTGAACAAAGCAGATGTAATGCTCCTTGAGTTTGTTGTGAAGTGTCAGTCTTTGTATGGGGAGAGTGCAATGACATTCAATATGCATCTCCTGACTCATCTGGCTAAGTCTGTGAAACTGTGGGGTCCATTGTGGGCACACTCCGCTTTTGTGTTTGAGAATGGAAATGGAAATCTCCTTAAAATGGTGCATGGAACCAAATGTGTTGCTCTTCAAGTGGTCAACAAGTTCCTGCTGCACAGAGCTGTACCACATTTCTCAAAGCAGTATGCAGTCAGTGACCGTGTCCTTGCATTTTGTCAGGAGATCAATAGCTATTCAAAAGTACAGAAATGTATACGCTACCAGGACACAACAGTTTTGGATGATGGAAAGATCAAACACCTCACACAACACGAAAGGAATGCCTTCCTCACAGCATTGATAGAACCACCTATTACAATTCTTCTTCACAACAGAATGACACACAAGGGTTTGGTCTACACAAGTAAAAACTATAGCCGCGCCAAAAGACGCAATGATTATTGTGTAAGTCTGACAGATGGACGCTCTGGGGAGATCGAGCAGATAATATCATTTAGCTCAGAAGCAGGAGCAGAAATTGCCATGTTCTTCAAACCTTTTGACACACAGACTAGGTCCTTCCCCCTTCCACAGGGTTATGGTTTTGTGCCTCATATTTTTAGGGTAAATGAAGGTACATCCTTGATCCACTTGGTTCGAGTTGATGATCTTGAACAAAAATGTCTCCTTGTGAAGTCCGCTGATGGAATGTATACATGCAACTTCCCAAACCTGTATGAGAGGGATTAAAATGCAAAATTAGTAATGAGCCGTCATTATGGTAAAACTGTTTGGGATCTCTCTTTCCCCTGTACTAATTTTCTCCTTTTTGATGTTGTTTAATTGTTCCTTTTTTTGAAGGGGCCCTAATGTGCTAATTTCTTGTTAATATTGTTTACACAATAACCTATATAACACACTACAGGAAATAAAAAACCCAAAACGAACCACTCTCAATGAGACACTAAATACAAATGATCCTGAAAATTAGCAAATTGTGTCCTTTTTAAGTAATTGTTGTATCATTCATAACACTCTGCGATTAATCACAATGTGGCCACCTGTCGTCCACTAGTGACATTTAAATTCAAACGAACAGTCTTATTTATAGAGCTTTGTATACTACTGAGTTTGTATGTTATGTCTCTTAAATAAATGGAATGGAAACATGCAAACAGGGTTTTGCATTGAAGCAATTGGATGGAAAATATATGTTTTTTCTTAACAACAGAGCTGGAAATGGAAGCAATACAAATATTACTTTAATGTTAATATGTGTTGCTTGTGTTCTGATGCATTTCACAATGCATGACATGTTTTTTTACTAGCATCATCAAAACTGAACTGAAAATATGTATTGTTTGTTTGTACA